ACTAACACTTATACACACACACAGTTAAATGTGAATACACTCTACATACATCTATTGTTGGTTGTTGGAATTCATTCCGTGTATACCAATTATATACTTTGGTATATATATATATATATATATATATATATATAATCGAATGCTGGTGTTAACAAAATAGTGCTTGATGAAAACAGAGCTGTAAATTATATATTAATGAATATATATTTTTTTCCTCACCAGTAGCATGACTTTTTTTTTTTTTTTTTTTTTTAACAACAATCCTCATTTAAAATATGAACTGCCCTGCTAATTGTGATATTTAACAAAATTTAAATTATGTAATGGTCAGTCTCAATTCAGCAGTTGAAGATTGTATTGTTTATGAAACACCAAGTTGCGCTAGAAGTGAGGAAAAAAAATGTGTGTGTATATATATATATATATATATATATATATATATATATATATACACACACACACACACACTTATTTTCCTTGTTTTTAATCTTTCCAAGTATTAAAAAGATTACTGGCCATATTTTTTATAATCTTTGAAAAGAAGCTTACTTTTTATTTTTATTTAATTATAAATAATTTATAGGATAATCAAAAATAAGTCTAGTTCATTCCATTATAAATGACCTTCATGTTAAATTGTGTTCAAATGTATGATATCGCTTAAAATAATATCTTTTTAAGGATCTACTCACCAAAACCTATAGTACATTAATATTATCTTTATTTTATCTGACAATTAATAATAATACTAATGCAAAATATTGAAAAGAAAACCATTTAATGATGATAGACCCCATGCACCTCCCAAACCTTTTATTTTTACAAAGTGTACGTGTGTATAGATGATAAAGTTATTGTAATGATGATTTCCCCTTTCCACCATGGAATGGTTATTGACTGCTCCTTGCTTCACAGATTTATTGAAGTCATGGGAGGAAACACGTGGGATTGGTCAATATCTGTCAACTGCTTTGCTAAACTCGCTCTTGGGTAACAAAACTACTACTTCCTCAGTTTCTGGCACAGGTGCACGGTACTTGAGTTTCCTATAAAACTTGTCTATTTTTTTAATTGATTTTTTTTTCTACTACTACTCTTTTCCCACCCCCAGCTGTTAAATCTTTTTTTTTTTTTATTTTACCTTTCATGGTTTACTGGACTTTTTTAATCATCAAGATCAATGAGCTGTAATTTCTTTGCCTGTAGCAGAATCATCTGAGCATGTTATTACAGAAATCTACTTTTTTTTTTTCTTTTTTTCTCCTCACTTTGCAAATGTTTCTCTTTCCCTCAAATTATAAAATCCTTTCTACTTCTTTCACCTATTTTTTTATCAAGATGTTGAAAATCATTTAAAAAAAAAAAATGATTTTATTTTTTATTTCTTGATAGTAATAAATTTCATCCATATATTTTCTCAATATTAAAATTAAATTAAAAATATTTTCATAATTGAAAAATCTCCTGCTACTCTGTTCTATCTTCAAGTTTGCTTAAATGTGTCAAAGTGTGGCTCAGTGGGTTCAGATTCTATGTGGGTTGATGGTTTTGTTTTGTCAAAATTGAATTTCCTTTCATATGGAAGGCTTGTCTACTCGATAACAAGATTTATTAAACTAAGCAGCCATATCTTTGTCTCAAGAAAAATGTTATGCAAAATAAAATGAAGATAATAATGCAAAAAAGCATTGGTTATAAATTAAGTCATCTATTAATTAGCAGATGTTTTCTCTTATCAATGCCAGTCAGTCTGCAAGACTTAACCAAATTACTTACCTTGGTACTGGAGATCCATACACATAGCACCATCTTACTATTGCACTTGAGTGATTCATGTTATTTCCTGATGTCTGGAGTTCATATCAAATGACTGCAAGTATTTATATAGCCCTTACATTTAAGTTTTGTGTCAAATTATCTTTTCGGGATGTACATATCTTGTCACATATGATGCTGATAACTTACAAAATACAGCAAATTCTACCTTGCTTTGCCTACTTAATTCATTTAATTTTTATCTGAATTTCTGGGATGAGGAGTTATCATTATTTACACTATTTATATTTGGACTATTGTCCTTATCTTTCTTGTTTTAAAAAAAACAAAACAACAAAGATTAAGACAATAATCTGAATATTAACAGTGTAAATAATAATTTAGTTTGTAATTTTGTTACATTTTCAGTAACAGCATGACCAGACTAACTGTTGATACTGATTGTGACAGTTTTATATAAAGAAAAGTATTGATGAAAAGAATATGATTTTATATTTCACTCTTTCTCTTCAGATGAGACTTGATTTTTTTTTTTTTTTTTTTTCTTTAATGTTATTAGGTTAGGTCAAAAATAAATTGTAGTTTTTTTGTTGTTTTGTTTATTCAAAAATAAGTATTAGAGATAGGTTCATGCAATCTGCAGTTTTAAAGGATGAATTTTATTTATTAATTTTGGTTTTGTTTAGTGATTTATGACTGTCTGCATTTCAAACGAGACAAAATGGAAACTGTTTTTAATATCCTCTAAAGGTTTGGCTAGGGGACATCATTGATTCCAACAATTTGACGATGTACCTAGAAGTTGAGGAGGTTGCACACATCTTTCTTCATTTGTTGACAACTAATTGAGGGTCATTATTGAAGTGGGAATGCACTAAACAACTTGCACCAAATTGGAAAATCAAAAAAGTAGGAAAAATGAGAGTGCCACATGAGCTGAATAAAAAAAAAATTAAGGATATTATGTATTTTTCTCTGTACTTCTTTTGGCCCCATATGGGTCAATTTTTTAATCACATTGTGACATATTGTCCAAAATAGATTCTCTACTACAATCAACATCCTTCTGTGCAGTGGCTTGATTGAAGTGAGACACTTTTCCAAACATAAAATACATTAAAAGAATGTTATGGTCACTGTTCAGTGGTGAGCAATTGGAATCATACATTCTGACTTGAATCTTGGTGAAGTCATCACAGCACAGAAGTATTGCCAATAAAAGCATCAAGTATTATAATGTTTATGCCCCACCCCCATTGGTCAATCAAAAAAAGGATCAATTCTCTGTGACTCTGCCCAGCCAATCTCACAAATCACTGCAGAAAGGAATTGAACTATGAAACTCCTTTATGCAGCTTACTTTCCAACCGGCTGCCATGTTTTTAATCATTTTAACAATTTTTTGTAATAGAGCAAAACGGTGACAGCTTTGAAGAATTCACTGGTTCCAGGACACCAGAATTCCATGCTACTGAGATAGACTTGTTTATTGTTGGTAGATTCTATTCTTTCTTATTTTGATACATATGTTTTATTCTGATCTGAGATTGATGGCTTTAAAGTTGATGATTAAAATTGCAAATATTTTTGCACTAATCTTACTATAAAAAGATTTTGCAGTGACAGATATTTTACATAACTTCTGGAAAGTTAATTCTTTTCCCTAGGATTGCAAATTTACACCCGTATCTAGACCAAATAGAAATTTACCTGTTCAGTGTAGAAACAGTAGTACCATAAAGAAGTTTATTTGAGAGCTGAAAGTTAAAATCCTTCTCAAGGATATTGGACATGACAAAAACAAAAGATGAGCTTCTGAAATTTAGTGTCATAAACTTGTATAAGGCTGTAGAGTATACTGCTCAAAATATTATAAGATCAACAAAGATGGAGTTTGTTTATTTGAAATAAATCATCCAATCAAATAATTAGGTTAAATATTCAATCAACTTCTTTCAAAGCTTCAAAATACATGTTGTAGCAAAAGTAAATTGATTGCTAAGATATAATCTTGTGCCTGGTTGCATGTGAGATCTGCACTGGCTTTTTAATTGGTTTAAAATAGGGTATCACACCTTCAAAAGGGACATGCACAATTGGAATTGATTGATGAGGAGAGAAAAGAACAATGTCTGTCTCCTTTGATATGGTTATCAAATATAATAAAAGTTCAGACAAAGAGTTTTGTTAGATTCTCTTTGTCTGAACTGTTATTATATTTGATAACCATATCAAAGGAGACAGACATTGTTCTTTTCTCTCCTCATCAATCAATTCCAATTGTGCATGTCCCTTTTGAAGGTATGACAAAAACTGTACAAATCTTGTCAAATTTGTTTGTATATTATCAGAGCTATGAAAGAAACTTTCACAGGATGACATGCTATGGATTTTGTAGTTATTGAAATATATGATGGTGTACTAAAAAGTTCTCAACCTCACCAAGAAAAAAAAATCTTATCTTTGTTGAGTTGGTTAGATTTTGGGAAGTTGTTCAGGCAGGGAATTTATCAGCATCCTCATACTTTCATTGCATTTATGATAATGGCTGTTATGAACTTTAATTCCCACATTTTGGGGAGATTTTTCAAAACAATTGTTTGTGCATCATATTATACCTTGAAAACTAAAGTGGAGACTTAAACTATTTCCTGATATTTAGGGTTTAATGTTACTGGCATATTATTACTTGAATTACTCTTGTTAAGGCACATAGGGATGTAGGTAAAGAACCATATCAATGTTGAATATTCTTGAATCATTAATAAGAAAAAATGGGTTTGTGGATAACATAATTGTGATTGGCTTGGAAAATGGAATTGGTGAGAGGAGTTCAAATTCCCATCTAATTTGATGTTTTCATTTTAGCACATAAGAAAGAAATGACTCCATCTCTCCTCTCCCTAGATATAGATTAAATGGTAGGGTAGACTGGACTCTCTAGCCTTGGGTTACAGCCAGTCATAGAAAAGGAAAATTCTGAATTCCAAGCAATAGAAATGGTAATTCACAGATAATAATAAAAAGGAATCTATGAAGAGGGATGATTGCTTATATCTTCAAGGGACATGATATTAAAAATTTGAGATCTCTCAGCATCTTCATCATTTCTTTATTTAAAAACTGAGTGAGAAAATTGAAAACATTGTATGTTTTTTTTTTCTATTGGTAATGTGTATTGGTCTTTTTGTTGCTGACATTCTTTGTTGTACTGATAATTGCAGGTAAATATTATTGTTGAGGCTTGGACGACACATGCCAAAAATGTGCTTCAGAAACTTGGACAAAGGACCCTTGCTCCAAATCAGGTTGGTAACCAGCTTTATATTGTGAAACCTTTCTTTACTTTTCCTAAGCTTCCACTGTATTTTATTAATATAAACTGATATAATATTTGTGCATTTATGCCACAAGAGGATCACAGAATCTACTAATATTAAACTAACTGCTTTAAAGAATTCATTTTTACTTTTGAATGACTTTGTAAGAATGTCTGTTTACTTTGGAATTTTTTGAATGACTTTGTAAGAATGTCTGTTTACTTTGGAATTTTTTGAATGACTTTGTAAGAATGTCTGTTTACTTTGGAATTTTTTGAATGACTTTGTAAGAATGACTGTTTACTAACTTGGCATGAATGCTTACTAAATTGAATAGAAGCTTAGAGCACTCATTCCACAAGCTGCCTTGAAAAATGTTTACATTGCCATAGAACATGCATCTATAATTAGGTAGGGAATATTTAAAAAGGAAAAAAAATTCTCATTCATCTTCCCTTCTTGCAACCACTTGTGTCCTAGTGGTATTATTGCCTTCTTTAGAGTGAAATGATTAAAAATAATGGTGTTAGTCGAGTGCCAGTAATCAGAGAACCATCAGAGAACATGATTTAGGGTGACCCCTTTTTTTTTTTTTTTAGGGATTATTTTCTTTTGGTAGGTAAGGGAATGCATTATATTTTGAGATATATGGCAATTTGTGGTTCAGAATTAATTGTCCAATTTGTTTCCTCTGATCACAGGTATTACCTCATCAAAATGTGTGGTATATTAATGTGGATGAATTGGGACAAGATTATTTTATTGATTAGATTTTAAAAAAAAATTCCTTTGGATTAAACAAAATATTTTGAATGATTCTTTTAATGAAAAGATTGCTTGTATGATTGCATGCACTCAATTCAGTTAGCCTATTGTAGACATGTCTAATATTAGTTTCTAAAACTTGACCTGAAAATTTAAGTCACTAGATAGAATATTTGGGAACAAAGAGATAATTATTTTGAACATATGAAATATTGCCACAACATTTAAGATTTAAAATTAGCATTTTGTAATCTTCAAATGTTAAAGATTTCAATAGTTTGTTGAAATTTTATCTTTTATCTTTTTAGCTAAGTGACATCAACTGGAGGCTCAATTTGGAAATGGCTAACATGGGAAGATCGAAAATGAAATTGCCTAATGCCATGTTTGAATTGAAGGTCACACAAGAAGACATGCAGGTAAACAAATTGACCTTTTTCCTCTTTATCAATCCATGCCTTGTTCTGTCTTTTAACAGATTTTAAATGATGAAAAAAATATTCAAATTGTTGGGTTGGAAAGCAAACTTTTTGAATATTTTATGTCTCAAGAAAATTTTTGTTGCTTCTCAAAAAAGCAAAAAAAAAAAAGAAGGCAACATAAAAGAATTATTCAACATAAATCATTATTATGATCACTTCCTACTAATGTTTGTCTCTTTGTATCTCATCCTGCACAATACCAGAGTTAAGCAACATTGATGGAAGCACAAATGCTTCCATCACATATGCACAATGCCTATACATATATAAATATTAAACCAGGATCATGTCAGTTTTTACTGTTTGATTTTGCTAGTATTTTGGTATTTTGTGAGTAGCTTTCTAATGTTACTATGATCCTTATACTGCTTATTAATATATTGTCTGATGGCACTGGTGAGTCTTTGTGAGAGTGTGGTTGTGGTATATCCTAGTAAGATTTTTTTTTTTTTTTTTTTTAACTTTTTAACATTTTGTTGTACTCTTTAGCAAGGTATATTGATTTATAAATCACTTCTGTTAATGACTTCATCTATGGGACTCATTTTAAAAATTTTACCTGTATTTGAATGCCTTTTTTCTTTTTTGATTTTTTTCAATTATAATAGTTTGACAAAATGAACGATTATAAAAGTGGAAGTGATTCTAAATTTAGCCAGTTTATTAATAAATGTTTTGATGAAAGAAATAATGAAACTGAGGATGATACTCAACATTATCTGTGCACACCAGCAATATTAGTAACTATAATGATAGTTATAATGAGAATAATACTGTAATGCAGGTTATAATGATATTAATGCTATATTGATTTATCAGTCTGTGATATGAAAATATATGTATATTAATACATTGATGTGCAAGACTTTTAGGCCATCTAAGTAAATTAATTACTTTTGTTGGTTTTTACACCCATGTTTGAGACTGATTAGCAGACTGCTTTTCTCAATGCATTTTATGATCTTTTCAGCATTTTCATAAATGAAAATAGAGCATATTAATCATAGTGATACTGAAAAAAAGGCCATTCAAAAACAACAAAAATTTCACCTTTAACCTTAAGTTAAAAATGAAATTTTTATTATTACAGAAAGTATAAAATATCCAAGTATGGAGTTAGTAATTAGCGTTGATGTCTTTGGTTTGAATAATTACCTTCATTTGATGTGGCAGTGAATGGAACAATTTTCAGGTTTTCTCAGTGTGAATTTTTCTCATATTCTTGACAGTAATCCCAAAACTCTTTGAGATTGCATGGTTTTCATTGGAGCACTTGTTTCTTCAGTTCTTGCCACAATGGTTCAGTTATATTGAGAACAGGACTTTCTGCTGGTCAGTTTTCCAAAATTTTAACATCTTCAACCACAAGAAATCATTTTGTTGTACTCAATATGTGGCAAGAAGTACCCTCATTCTGAAAAATTTCTCTATCTTCATAGCTTGGCAGAAGATTAGACCATAATAAACTAATCTAATTTTCATTGTTTTGGTTTTCATCAACTTTGTCATTTTCTTCTAGCATCTGCTCTGATGCAACCCCACATCATTATTACCACTTCACCACCAAATTTTTCCATCTTTGTGGTTTAACTTGTATTGTTTCTTTCTCCCACTGGTCTTACATATTATTTTACATTAGAAACTAACTCTAGTTTGAATTTATCATTAAAAATTGCTTTTTCTCACTTTTGAGCATCTTTGATGTTCTTTTGATCACTTCAGTTTTTTTTGCTTGCTATACCCCTGCTCAAGTTGGTGGCTTTTTTTCTTTTTTTGTAATACTCTGCATACTGTATCAACTGAAACCTCACTATTAAGACTGCATTCACTCCTCACTTGTTTGGCTGTTCATTTTGGATTGCCTACTGAAACTCTCACAATCTTTCTTGCATCTCTTTTGTCTAACTTGTGTTGTTTTTGGTTTTCTTTGTGCTTAAAACATGTACTTGCTTAAAACATCACTTGTAACAAAAATCATTTAGATGGTTTGAACAATTGTAAATTCCCGGCCAAATCTTATTGAGTCCACTTACCTTCCAATATTAGAACATTAATTTTTGTTTCAGCTGACTTTTTAGCTTTGATTTTAGTGTAAAAAAAAAAAAAAGGTAATATTCAATGACAATGATTTGCCAAGGCACCTTAAACTCATATTAATAAGATGAAGCTATTCCTATTTAGAAATTATCATGACTTTATCATTTCAGATCATTCATTGGCCCAATAATTTTGCATGTTTATTTTTTTGTTTTTAGTTTCAAACTGCTTTAAGAGGTGCAGCTTCTGTTATATGGCACCTACAAAGACACAAAGACTTATTTTCTGATCCTCAAGGTCCACAAACACAACTGATAAGCATACTGCTAAATGATCTTAAATTTTTAATAAAATAATGATGTATAATCATTTTTTGTAGTTGACCCATAACTTTTACAGGGCAGTATACAAACAGTTGATGTCAATCTGATTTTTCTCTTCCAATTTATAATATGAATGTTTTTATTTACTTTTTCAGCAAAAAGAAAAAATCCACCTGGAATTTTCCCATGATGAACTTTATGCTTTTTATAATCAGGTTTGTGACAAGAATCATTTGACCTTTTTTTTAATACTTCAGACTATTCGCATAATACACAAAAGTAGATTTATATATTTTTTTTATCTTTACATAGGTTTTTATAAATGAGTACCTAATGCTCCTGAAACTAGTAAAGTGTAACTCTCACAAGAATGCCAAAGTAAACACTCACTTACAAGAGGAGCTTGAAAACTGACTTCTTTTGTTTGAGGTGTTATTACCCTATTAGACTGTAATATTTATTAACTTTTGTAACTGTGTACTTCTAGCAAGCTATCATTCATTTTATTAATATCTTTGCTTTGCTCTCTGTATTTCTTTTAAGATAAATTTATGGAATAAAGTTAATAAAATGATTATATAAACAACTGTACAATGATTATTTTTTGATGTTAAACTGCTTCTGTCTATGTATTGGTGTCTAAGCACAAAGAATGATAAAAGACAATTGTGATTATTACTGATTTACCAGTGGGGTCTAATAACTGCTAGAGCATTGATCAATTTATATAGCTGTGTCAGTATGAGTTGCTGTCTAATATATTCTACCTCCCCTACTTCACAAAGTTTAAAAGTAGACTTCTATATATTTTTTATTAATATGTGGATTTGAATATTATGAGAAACTGCTACTGATATTTTTGAATCCACCAGAGAATTTGTAAGATTATCTTCTCCACATTACACACCTTGTTGACAAATAAATGAATAGCACTTTTGTGCTTCTCTCCACCTTCCAGGTTTTACCAGAGATTTATTTAGTAAATTATTTTAAAAGGAAGATGTGACCTATCTCAATATTTTCCCCACTTAGCCTCTTCGTAAGTACTTCTTGTGCTGAAACTTGACTGGCACATTCTTAATACATAAAATAAAAATCCTCCCAGGCATACTTCTATAGCATAGAAATGGTCTTCACATAAGATATTAAGATTGGTTATTTAAATAGTCTTAGTGAATTTTATTGAATGATACTTGATGTTTAAATGTTGCCAGGAACAAAATACCACTGACCATTCAATAAAAATGTGGGGGTACTGAAAAGTCCTCAGACCAGCCTACCTCAAAAAAGAAAAAAAAATCTGATTAGTTATTTTGGGAAGTTGGATGGCCTGAAGACTTTTTAGCACCTTCTTGTCATATTTTTTGCATTTATGTAATATGTAAAAATTAAAATAAATTCTAGTATTTAAAATGTATATCATACAGACATCAAAATATATGGTTGATAATATTTGAAAATAAAATTTGATACATACTTGCAGTAGATATGAACTGTGTGTGTGTATAATATATATATATCTATATATATATATATATATATATATATCTATATATAATATATATCTATATATAATATATATCTATATATAATATATATCTATATATCTATATATAATATATATCTATATATAATATATATCTATATATATAATATATATCTATATATCTATATATAATATATATCTATATATAATATATATCTATATATAATATATATCTATATATTGACCTGAAATGTTCACTGTATAATGTTTAATTCATGTTATTAATGTTCATCACTGAATTAAGCGAACTGACAATGAGATATTGAAAAATATTTGTGTAAAATAAATACATTTTTCCTTATGAAGATACAGACTTATTGATATATTTCTATAGACTTGTAGCAATAAATTGTTGTATACACACACACACACAAGGAGGTGCTGAAAAATTTCTGCTTGACCCAATTTTTAAAATCAGTATTCTGATGTTTACTCAATAAAATACTGATTCTGGGAAATGAGTTAGGTTGAGAACCTTTCAGAAGCCTCATGCAAATACACACACACACACACACACACACACACACTGGCCACCTAAGTGCATGTTAACAAATGCACTTTTATGCAAATTTCTAATCAGCCAAGGATGTGTCTGTATTTTGATGGATATGGACATTTAAAACAGGATCATGGCAAACTGCTAAAGTTGTTTTAAGTGACTTTGGACGTGGAATGATGCTTTTGACTAAGAGGTGGGTCTGAGTATTTTAAAAACTGCTGATCTCCTAGGATATTCATGCACAAGCATCCCTATGGTTTACAGGGAATTGTCAGAAAAAGAAAATAAATTCCAGTGAGAGGCAGTTCTGCAGATGAAAATGCATTGTTGATGAACTGAGACAACAGTAGCTCAAATAACTACTCTTTATAATGGAGATATACAGAAGAGCATCTCTGAATACACAACATGTTGAACCTTAAGGCAGACAGGCTACAGCAATAGAAAAGCATACCAAGTGTCACTCCTGTCAGATAAGGACAAGAAACTGGGGCTACAATTTCATAAGGATCATGAAGATTGGACAATAGAAGATTGGAAAAGTGTTGCCTAGTGTGATGAGTCTTGATTTCATCTGCAACATTTGGATGGTAGGGCTCTAATTCACCCTGGCTTGTATCAATGGTTTAGGTTGCTGTTGAGGTGGTGATTGTAGTGGTGATGATGTAATATTATGGTAATATTTTCTTGATATCCTTGGTACTAATAAAAGATTGTTTAAAGCTTATCTTGTTATTGTGGCTGACCATGTACCCTGATTTCTGACTCTGGTGTAACCATCCTCTGGTAGCCACTTCCAGCAGGAGAATGCACAAAATCAAAAATAATGGCAGATGGGTTCATGGAACACAGCAGTGAGTTTTCCATGTTAAAGTGGTTTCCACAGTCCCAATCAATACCTTTGAAAAGTGGGGGAAAGAGTAATTCAAATCCTAAATATGCAGACAACCAATCTAAAAGAATTTTGACTTTCTAGAACTTTTTGAGTTTTTTTCTTTTTTTCAGATACATGCATTTAATTTCATTTAATATTTAATTTTAACCATTAGTATTGTTTGTAAATCAATAAATCTTCATTTATTGTCACTTAAAGAGTGAGTACATTTTTTGGGAGGGTGGAAACACACACACACACACACACACACACATATATATATATATATACACACACACATTTATTTGCATTATAATGAATAAAAAAAATTGAAAAACTAGCTGAAGAAATACTTAACTGAACTTGAGTGAATTAAAGTGCTGTGATGTTCATCTGATAGTTGCCTTTTTGTACATTCAGAAACAAGTATACTAATGTCTCTGATGATATACTTGTCCAAAATTCCTCTCCCCATTCAAAGTTAGGCTCTGATGTAGGGAGGATCTGTTTGGGAGTTACTTCTTGCAATATGCTTTATGTAATAAAATATTATGTCATGTGCAAGTCAGTCAGTGTACAGGTTAGTGGTAAAGATCTGAGGATTTCCCTGTGTGTTAGGTGTATAACTTGTTGACTTCTGACCTCTGTTATCAGTTTGACCTTTTCTCTTACTCAAGCATTTCATTATTTCAGGGTGGCAAGCAGGTATTTTTCTCTTGTTTTTTCTTAAGTAATAGGAAGACATTCAATAAACTTAGAAATAGTCACCTGCTTTGGTTCAGGCTGCCTTGCTCCTTCAGACAAGCCATCTCTCCTGGCTCCTATGTCAAATTAGGTGACTGACTAAATTCCTTTTCACTCCTTTGTTTTTATTTTCTCTTTTTGTCTCTTTTTAACTTAAATTCATTTTTATCTTACTTTTTACTTTGAAAAATCTATTTTGAAACTTTCAATGGTTAACATTTCAAGAAAACAATTTATTTCATAAAAAACTTTAAAATAGGAAATTTTCCTAAAGTTCAAGTATATTTAGAGGTTTTTACTAGCATCATCAGGTTTAAAAGTGGATATTTTTTCTTCAAGTCATTTAAGAATGTGGAAGAGTCTGTTTAAAAGTTATTAAAATAAGGAATCCTTTAGACAGGTTAACCTTGTCCTTTGGAGGTTTGTGTAAAGATATATGGAGTGAAATGTAATCATTAAGAAATTCTTATCTAACATTTAATGGAGAGCATTTGAACAAAAAAAAAAACAAAAAAAACTGGTAGATGAGTGTTAGCTGTACCTTTACTGCTGAAAAAAGAGATTTGTATTATCCAATAAATAATGTAAATTGAAATTGACTGCTGTTGTGTAAGATATTGTGTGTGTGTATGTGTGTATATATATATATATATATATAATATATATACTTTTTTTTTTTTTTTTTTAATAAGTTTTAGTTTAGCACAATAACCCTCAATGTCAGATACTCATTGACTTACAAATTCACTACACTAGTAATAATTTTAATGACTTGCTAACTGTTGTTCCACATAAAACATTCTGTGTGTGTTCTTGGCACTACTTACATCTCAAAATTTAACCAAAAAACCAAACCTTAAAAGTTTTCTTGTCCCAAGTGAAAATTTCTCGACCCCACTTCATATATATCTACAAAGAATAACTATATTTACATATTTTTATGTTCCATGCTTATATATATATATATATGTGTGTGTGTGTGTGGCAGAAATATCTCCCACATAATGGTAAGACATTAACTAGATGAAGACAGCATTGGCACTAATGTCTTACTATTATGTGGGAGGTATATTTCTACTGCACCCTGTATACACATACGCACACAAATAATGTTTCCGCATTTTAATTTTGTCTAGGTTAGTCATATTAGCTCTGACCTTTAATGCTCAGTTTACGTTGATATTCTTAAATATATTTCTGTATTCCAAAGCGTGTACAGCATAAAAACTATCAGCTAGAAGCCCATTTCTGAAATCCGCTACTTTGAAAACACGCTCATAAGGCATCCCCAGTTTATACCTTGGGTGTTGGGTCACTATGCCCAGGTGATCCTCTACTCTATCCTGGCAATGATATAGATTATCCTCCTTCTCCTCCACCATTTCATTTCTTTCACCTCTTCTTTCACTTTTGTTTTTCTTTATGACTCACTGACATTAGCAAAAAGCCTGCAGCAATGCTTCTTGACACTTTATTGCATTTTCATAGCAGCCAGGCTTGTTTGCTTATAACCAACTTCTACCGCTCCACTGGTTTAGGGTCATTTTGATTCCGCTGTTTCAATTGGTTGCTAAGTGTTTCTGGGTGGTAGGCAAGTAACAAGTGTCATTTTATTCTCTCTTTTTCTCCTTCCCTTTCTTTCTTTCTTTCTTTCTTTTTTTTTTCTCTCCTTCTTTCCAGTTTTTTTCAATATCTTTTTTCCCTTCTACTTTTCCCTTATTTCCTTTGTTCTCTCTTTCCACATATTTTTTTTTTTTTTAAACAATTTATTCTATTATCTATCTTTTTCTTTTGTCTCTTTCCTTATTTTATAATTCCAAGTTTCCTTGTTGTTATCTTTGGTTGCAGTGTTGCATTCAGATTGACTTTTTCTTCAAATACTGACAGATTCTTTCTGGGTTTCTCTTTAAAAATATTGAAAGCTACTTGGGTCTGTGTTTTGTTTTAGCAATTAACTAAGTTGACTAATTGGTGTATAAAAAAACACTGGCTGCTTTGTCAGGTTTGCACACTTTCGGTGTATACTTTATGAATAATGCTAACAATTTTGTGCAGAAACACTTAAAAATCTATTTCTGATGTTAATCTAAAAATAAAAAATAAGACTTCAAGAAAATTGAGTGTCATGAAGATACAGTTGCACTTAATTCCTTTCAAATAATCCAAAAGAATCACACCATTTTATAAAATCTGAATCTTTTAAAAAGTTTCAATCTGCTTAGGTTTGCTTTTCGCACCTCAGCTGAAATAAATTGGTGAAAATCAGATTGAAATTTATCAATCAATAATTAACCAAATAATTTATAGAGTTTCAGGACAAAGAAATAATTTTGTAGAAAAAATTGTGCAATGCAAGAAATGCCCAGTAGACCAATAGATTTTGACTGGATCTTCTTTTTATGAAATCTGAAGAATAAAAGCTCTAAAGCCTAAAATGGTAGCATTGATCTAACTTTCGTCTTTGTTTTACAGGGTATTCACTTTAGAGCTGGGGTCTCCAAACTTTTTAGATCATAAAATCTTTTATAGATACTTCATCCCTCATCAACCAACAAGCATGTGCAAAAAACAAAACGATTATTAATGATAATTATTTTTATTTTAAGGGTAGAAATTCCTTTGCTTTTTTCCTTTATTATTGTTTCTTGATAAAATTCTTTTTAGGTTTTGTTGTTCTTTTTCAGTTTCCATTTCTCTTTTATTTGTTTGCTTGAATCATACTGATAGTTTTATAAACAGTATAGGTAATAAAAAACACATTAAAAATAATATCTTTTTATTGAATTTGTTGACATCATTAAAGTGAAGGATATGTTTGATTAGCTGTAGCAAGGGCATTTATATTTGGTTGGAAATTGGTGGGTTTTAGTTAATAGTTGCTATGATTTATTTATTGCCCTATTTTTATCCCCACACCTCAGGTATTTACTGACCTTCCTTCCTCATTGGATAATCTTATTGACTTCTAGAAGCACCCTGCTTTAGAGGAATATTTTCAAATTTCAAGTCTTTTCTTTTATTTCAGCTTGAAACAATTCAAAGGCAGATCGATAATCTGGACTGAGGTGTTTTTAGCATTTCGTTTGAAGAAACTTACCAATTCACTCCAGAAAGAAGAACTGGAAAAGAAATGTCAAGACTGGAATGAGTAGTGACAGGAGAGCAGATTTACCATTTCTACAGAACAAGAAACATCTGCTATGTCCATCCACATGAATGGGTCTTTAACTTTCAATCCTGGTATTTTAACAAATATTCTTGAAGGATTGTCTTGAGGCTCACACTCATGACAATAGAGATATTTTGTAATTGTTTCTTTTGTTAAATCTATATGTATGGACAACTTTAATGCATTATAAGCATGTCTCTGTGTATTTTATTACATAAATATTTATGTTTACAGGTGATATCTCCAAATATATTTGTCTTTTTGTAGATTACTAATAACTAAAATTTTATATGTACCCAGGTGCTAATTTATTCTTTAAAAGAGTACAGAAATGAGTTGCATGTTTTCTCCTGTGTCAATATTCACAAAGATGTAGTAAATGGGTTTATGCATTGGTAAGGGACATAAGTTTTGTTTATTATAAAGATACATAGAAATTTTGTGGATAGAATACACTTAGTATAGGGACACATACTGGAATATGACAAGAGTTTTTCGTATGCATAAAGATTAAAATTTTCCACAAATGCAAATAATAAAAGATATTTGTTGGCCAAAGTCAGCATTGGTACAAGACTACTTACAAAGAGGGACCAAATTGATTTTATATAATGACTTGTAGAATTGCTTGCATATGTGATCTAATAGTTTTTTTTATGTATGTCTTAAGAATTGTGTATGTGTAGCTGAGGTGCCTAGTTTGTCTGTGTTTGTTTATATTGTTATAAAGTATTGTCTAAATTATATGTACTGATCTATGAATTTCATGACTCTTTAGAAAAGAAAGATTAAGTTTACATGGTTGTAAGTAACTTCAAATATTAGAAAGTAATCAATATTTGATGAGCAAATAAGAATTGTGATTGATTTTATTAATTTTTTGATATTTATTTCTATTAACCATATTCAAATCTGAACTTGAACTACAATCTAATAAGAAAATCAAATATAGATAATATGTATTCATGTTTTTTTTTCTTCAGAGATTCTGTCATCCTATGTTTTAAATTATCTAATGATCAAGGGTTTTGTGCATAAATATCTGAAATGACCATTTCCAAAATGGCAGCATATATAATATATATATATATATATATATATATATATATATATATATATATATATAAATAAAAAGAGTGTGTTGGTGAAGATTGGATTATTTTATATAAACTACCACTTTGGACTGAGAGAGACTTTACAAAACCCAAAAGATTTTAATTGTATTAAATAGTGCGTAGAGGCACATTTGTTTTCTCCTTCCTGGGGCAGTTACTTAAAAAGTTGCAGTCATTAATATTGATTGTTGTTGGTTTTTATACCCCAGAAATAACATTGGTCGTCTCCCTTCTACCCTGTTGCTGTAAGATAAGACAACATGTGGTTTTCTTCCAAGCAAAATATATTGAAAGAAACAGGATTTTGACTTAAGAATCTTTCATTCTTGTTTGAAAGTGGCATCTCTTATCAATAAGTTATTGTTAATATGCTTGACCAATTAGATTTTAGTCATTAAACTTGTGTTATCATTGTGAACTCTAATAACCATGGACAAACTTTATCCTTGAGGTCAGGCAGTAGAAATGGACAATGTTTGTACTTATTTAGATTTATTGAAATCAGGTTCTGTTTTTGCTTCTGTAAGATTTTCCTCTGTGGTAACGAATAAAAGTAATCACTTGGAAATAGTGATTATTTTTAGTCATGTATGTTTCCACACACACACACACCTCTTTGGAAAGATGTTAGTGAACTTAATTGATTTCTTGGCATCCATAAAAATTTTGTCTCACAGCAATTTGGCCACTCTATACACCATTCTTCTTCAGGTGAAAGTGTTCAATGCTGAATCTTTTTGTGAATTTTATTTAGATTATAATCTGATTCTGGTTCATGATCAAGTTCTGTTCCATAACAATAGAAGATAGCCTACAGATTATAGAACAGTTTGACATGGGAAATAAAAATGTATGTACATATATTTAAATGTGTATATATCTATGTATATGGGAAATAAAATCTTCCAAACATTTTCAAGTGAAAAGAAACATTACAGGGACAAAATATTAACCTTAATCAACAGATATCTCATATCAGACAATGAATAGACACATGATGATGACCAGAAATTTTGTGTCTCACATTTATATCAACCAAGATGAGAACAGTAGTTCGGAATAATACAAGTATATGAAAAAGACACTGTCAAAACAAAAGAAGATTAATTTTTAAAATTTCAGTCCAACATTTTGAAAATGCTGTATAAAAAGTGTTGACTTCTCTTTATCACAAAAGTGGAAAAGGAAACTTGACCCTGGCTGATTGTATAATATCATGACAGTCAATCTACCAGCTAGCCTTGATTTCTTAATTAAAAATACCTGCAGAAAGACACTTGCAATTGATAAATAAATAATAATTATCACTGATGACCTCATTTTCTCCCAACTGGTTAGGAAATGTATTAGAATCAGATAAAATTTTTTACAATGATTAGAAATCTTTTTTTGCTAATTTCAAAATGATTTCGGAATTTAAAGGTCTCAACAGTTCAATTACTGTAAAGAGTTGTGTATTTGTGTAATAGATACTGAACTGAATAATCTTTTTTAAAAAAAAAAACCTTTGGTTGTGTCTTATAAAACTGATAACAATGTAAATGTGTTATGAATGTTAAAAAAAGTACATCAATTTTTATTCAACTAAGCATCTATGCATTTACTGTTGTCATATTGAAAAGAGAAGAAAACAAATGAATTTTTATATAGGCAGAAAAAACTGTAAAAATTGAAATCTTACTGAAAGCTGATTTAAGAAAAAAAAATCACCCAATTTTTTTGCCATGAAACATGACAGTTCTATTTCATGTGTTAACATGATGTATTTGCATTTTGATTTGGAGCATTGTCTTTTTCCATCTTAAAAAAAAAAAAATTAACTGCATTTTCTACAAAAATGTTTTGGAGTTAAAAAACAAAATGTCTATTGTTTCAGCAGCTAATGTAACTGTTTTTGTTTTGGATCTTAAAGATCTGTTGTTGAGAGTTTCAATAAGAAAAAAATTATTAAAATCATCAACTGAAGTATTGTTTGTTTGTCATTTTTACTACTTTTAAAAAATGTGCATTTGACTTCAGAAAGCTATGATTGGTTATATTTGTAGTTCTACATTGTATTGGTAGGTCATTGCTAATATTATATGAAATTTTATGGCTTTTTTATGGAGTAGATTTTTTGTATTGGTTGATAATGTAATAAAATAATAAATGCTGTAAGAAGTAGTTGCTTTTAAAGCATCCAGAGGCAAGAAATTAAAACATTAGCATTTAAATGTTGATAATTGTAATAAGACATAGTATGATATTTGAATTTGGTCAGAGTTGCCCATTGATATAATACTTCATCAAATGTTAAGAGATTGCGGACAAAGTTCATTCAAATGTTATGCCGGTAGACTCCATAATTGAACTCTAGTTCATTTAGCAATGAAGAATGTGTCTCTGAATTTAAAAAAAAAAAAATTCTCTAACGTTTTTCTTGTCACTGGATATAGTGATCAATCATCAGCCTGAACTTATAGTTGACTTAGTTTGAAACGTCACTTAAATTGGTGCAGCTTTAGCGCATGTCCTTATCAGTCAGTGTAGCCTACCAGCACATTTGTATCCTACATTATCTAACCTAAGAAGAAAAGCAAAAACGGAAGGAGGAATGCCAATTATTGTCGTAGTATAAAATTTAAAATAAAAAAAAAAAAAATAAAATAAGAAATTTGCTAAAAAAATCCTAAAACAAGATATTTGAATCCTTTAAATAAAAACATTCTGAATATCTTAACATATCAAGAAAAAAATCAGGACAATGCCTTAATGTAGGATACAAATGCGCTGGTAGGATACCCACTAAAGTAGAAACTGATTGGTGAAATATGTTTACAATGACTTAATAATGTAGAATACAAATGTGGTAGTAGAGTGCATACAAAGCGGCACCCTTAAATTTCTGTGTTCAATTGAAAGAATATTCATCAAAAAGCCATTGAAACATTTTGATTCCCACAGATTTGTTGAACTTCATGCAAGATTTGAAACACCTAGCTCAAATTTACTAGTCATAAAGATCAGTAAGCTGTTCCAACTATTCTGATTATTGAACACACAGAGAAAGCACTATTGGCAGACTGACTCAGTTGGACACTAGCGAGTGTCACTTGTGATCATGTTTCCATTGAATTTTCTGATACATCTTGTATAATGTACAAACGTTTTTCAGATTCAATGTAAAAAATAATTTTTGGTTTATTCGTTGCTGTCAGAAAACATGACTCCGTAACTTTTTGGCATTGTTTTCAATGTAAAGTTGGTGAATGTCCAATTGTGGCGAAATCTCGTAAAGCAAGAATGGACCACTAAAGTAAAAAAAAAAAAAAACAAAAAAAAAAAAACAAAACAAAAAAGCAAACAAAAAACAAGGAGCATTCATTTAGAGAGATTTTCGCCCAACTGAAGTAAATATTTTTTTATTTGTTCTTGTTTTCAGGCGCTCCACTCTACGGCCTTCTTCAGATTTACTATCTGTATAGAAAAAGTTTCCGTTCAAAACTAAAAAAGCGGTAGCAAACAATATAAATTAATCTTATTTAGCAATGTATACTGTAGTAACGGACAACCATAATAGATTTCGTCTTGAAGTCCCACTGCACATACACAATTCTATATTGTATTCTTGGTGAGCAACGAAAGTACACTGTTGAAAGTGTATGCACTTCTGCATTTAACATTTCAGTTTTCACAATCGGCATTTAGTATCATTTGGACTTCATTCTAGAATGATTAATGGTCATCTTATTATCAAGCAGACAAGATTTTCCATTGAATATAGACTTTCTATATTCTTTG